CAGATTTGGTTTAAGATATACCATCTTTTGACCTGAGGTCTAACTTAACTTTAAAAAATTCTGGCTTTACTTACATGACCCATTTTCATATGAATTAGAATGCAGAGCAGGTTCTATCTTTCTAGGTAAATGGCAACTCAATTACAAAGCAGCTGCATCTATTTGCTAACCCCACTCTTAAAGGCCTACTGGTCTGAAGAAATTCTGTGTTTCTGTGACCCACTTTATATCATTGCTGTGTTCCTAAAATAAATTGAAAGGAAAAATTTGAGATGGCTGCAATACAACAAGAAAAAAGTGAATAAACATAATGGAAACTGCATTGAAATAGATTCATTGTTTAAGGAATAATTGACCATACTCTGGAAAAGGCAATAGATGAATCAGAAATATCAATCTTACATTCAGATGTCTGCTTGTTGGTTTTGAGGAATGTTTGTACCTTGTGTTTGCATTCTGTCACTTAATCTATGCATTGATGTGTGTGGCCGATTACCCTAGCTTTTTTTTTTTCCCTTAAGATTGTATGCTGTGTCCTAAAAATATGAATAAAAAACTGAAGGAACACAGAATAGAAGAACTTCTATGTGCAAAATATTAAAGGTTCTTGATGGTTGTGATACTTAGGGGTTTCATTGGTTGGTTTCAAAGAACAGGACCTGTAAGTGCAGTGGGTGCTTTAAAGCACAGCCAGGAGGGCAGAGAACATGTGAAATAGATTTACGTTGTGTTACAGTCCTCCGTGTGAAATTTTCGCAGGTTTGGGATCTGCTATCATCCTTACTCTGCTTTGTTTTTGGAAAGGCAGAGTGATGCAGTGTGGAGAAGGAAATGTTAGCGAGTGCCGCTGTATGCTGGTTCCCTCCCCCAAATACAACAGCCAGGCCTTGTCCAGGGATTTTAGAACACGGTCTGGGACTCCCATATGGGTGAGAGGGATCCAGACCCATGACCCATTACCTGCTACCTCCCCTCATGCTCATTAGCAGGAAGCATGGAACAGACAGCAGGGTGAGGATTCAAACCCGCACTAAAGGATGCAGGTGTCCCAGGTGGCATCTTCACTGCTGTGCTGAAGGCTGACCCAGCTCCTTTTCCCACCGGAGTTGCTTACTCTTGGGGTTGGTAGCCAGAGATATCAGAAGCAACATGAACCTCTCCATAGAGCAACTTCCAGCATAGCAGCCTATTTCCCTCCAACAGACGCCAGGGTCTCATTAATTCCCGGAAAAAATGACATGTCATCATCATTTGTTGCCTCTATTTATTGAAACTGAGTCAATCACTGAGTCCACTAACAAAGGGAAGGATATATACAAGGAGCTCATTGGGAGCCTTTGTAGAGGCTGTGTTTGGTAGTAATGTTTTATCTAACCTGGCATGTAAAGTATTAGTAAAATATACAGAATTATTAATATGTGTTTAATATTTTATATTAAATCTCTTATAGACCATTTCAGTTCAAATGTCGTGTTTTTCTTAGAAATATCTGATCTGTACTTAGATGCCATAAAATTCATAGTTGAAAAACAGATTTACATACTCAGGTTGTTCCAACGGTACTGAAACATTTTCCAGTAACTGAATCAAGGCTCAATTCTTAAATTGAAATTTAAAAAGCTAAAAATGTAGTTTGTCAGTCACATTAGTCATTTTCAAATATTCATTTGTTCAAGTGTTCAGTGACTACCATTTTGAACAGCAAAGTTTTACAAGTTGGTCTGCAAAATGAAAGGGAAATAAAGACACAAGGAAGTCTAATTACATATGTGTGATGGATATATGTACATATAGATATAAAGGTATTAATGACTATATGGATATATATCAGTGTACAAAATGAATATATTTACATTGTGTATATATATGTCCAGGACAGAAAGATTTAAGATGGCAGAAAAATGAGGTGTGATGACTGTGGGTTCTGGAGCTCTGTCGTATTGGGCAGCAACTCTGAAGTGGAGAATGCCTCACTGTCAAGGCTATTCTAGGTGTTAACACATAAAAGATTGAGTGTGGGAGACCAAAGCCAGAAGTGTCTTAACATTTCCTGTGTTTGTCACTCTGTTAATTTTTTCCTAGTGTGTGTGCCAACAGAAAGTCACTTTGGAAATGGAACTCATTTTCCAGGCTTTCATTTGCTATGAGCCTCATAGGAGATCCTTTCCTGACCAGGACCAGAAGTGTTCTGCAAATGGGCAAAGCTCCCTGGGAATGGGCATCCTGTCCTTGTCACTCTTTCAGCCAGTGTTTGTAGACTTCCTCAGCCGGCAGGCCCTGATTCCAGTACTGATGATTTTTTGACCATGCTAGATCTCCAAATTCATTCTGCAGATCTCTATATGATAGAGGTGAAGGGATGTGGCTTTATGTAGTTCTTAATTTGGAAATGAGCAAGTAGAGGTCCAGAAAAAATGAAGTGGCTTGTATAGAAATAAGGTAACACAGCGGCAGGCAAGTTATTCCTGGGCCTTTTACTGCTCAATACAATCCCACCAGGAGATGTAACATCTGTTGGTGTGGTTGGGCCTGGTATGGACACATCTGGCACCTGCATTTTTATGCAAATATCAGGATTTACCTGGCTCTTCTTAAGGCTATTGAGAGGCAAGTCAAGGAACAAAATTTGGGTTTCACTATCAATCAATGCATTTCTAATTAGTGAAGGATCAGGCACTAGATATGACTTGCATATTTTAAGTTCTGGCTACTACAAAATAGGAACAGCTTTAACGTACAGGAGGAGAAATGGAATAATCAGAAGACCCTTGAAACAGTCCAAGTAAGAGATGATGATTTAATGAAAATGGTGATAGTAGAAGGACTGGCAAAAAGTATACAGATTCAGGATATATTTCAGACATAGCCTATGCATCTTTGTAATAGATTGTAAGTAGGGGGTATGGATTAAGAATAATCAAAAATATGTTCAGGATTTTAGCTAGAATTTTCACTTAAGGATAAGTGGAGAAACTTGAGGGTGAAAATGACAATGGGGCATCCAGAGGAGAATCAACAATTTTGGCAGTCTAAGTCTTGAGCTATCTGTGGGGCATTCAAATGGAGATGACTGAAATTACTAAATATAAATGTGAGAGTTCAATAAACAGATGAGGGTTGGAATTGTGAATGAGAGAGGAGCTGACAGAGAATGTTTAAAAATATGTGGTTTGGAGAAATTCCCTAAGGTGCTGATTTGGAAAGAGGGCAGAGAATGGTCCCCAGGATTTTCCAACTTCCAAAGGTAATGAGAGGATTATAAACTGAATTTAGCAGTGAAGAAAGAAGGAAAAAGTAAATCCAGAAGTTCAGAGAGGAGAAATCCCAGCAGAGATGGTTTGGGGGTTGACCGAGGCGAGGGAATGAAGCAGGTAATGGTCTATTGGATTTGGATCCCTGAAAGTCATTGGTGATCCAGCCAGAAAAATACCTATCAGGGCTCATGTAATTCCTTGTGTTTTCATTGTTGCCTTTCTTTTGAGGCTACTTTGATATTCACAGCCTACTTGAAATTAGGCATTTTCAAGGAAAGGGAACGAAGTTTATTCAATGTTGTGTCCACCTTGGAACAAATTTTAGTTGTTACACCCAGACAGAGAAACTGAGAAATTGTTTGGGAAATATAATCATCACTTTACATTTGAAGTGAGAATTTTAAGGGCCATTCAGACATTGAAGGTTTTACAAGGTGCCTCTTCGGTGGTTACTGCTGTGAACTGAGTGTTACATAGCCCTCTGTGTGTGCTGAAACAGGCTGCCTGTGGAATGATTTTGTGGTCTTTAGACTAGAATACTTTCAAAGGTTATTATTGTAAGACTTATAATTCATGTTTGCATGTGTTAATACTGAAACTGTATTTTTGTATAGTACTTCTCAGAATCTATAAGAACACATCAAATTGTGTTCAGTGTAGCAAGCAAATGAGATCCCATTGGATTTAAGAAGCTTATTAATAATTTAAATATATCTCACATAGTATTTAAAGTTTTTATTTGAAATCAAGACGAGAGATTTGATTTAAATTCTGTTGTTTTTTTGGAATTCCCTTTATTCTCTTTAAAATCTGTTTTTAAGGGCAAGGATAATCTTAGTAATGGAAGTAATGATTGCAAGGAGCATAATTTTGAAGTGCCATGCAAATCACAAAAATGATTTTAAAAAGGCCAGTGGAACTAAGAGAAGAATGCTAACAGAATTTTAAAATAAGTTTTTGATATTTTCAAAATGGATTGTTTTAATGTGTGAAATTATGCCATAATTATCGCACAAAAATGAATTTAATTCTATATTAAGACAATTTTAGGAAACGAAGCCCTAATTTATGTAAGCAATGATATAATGTCGCTTGTTTTACGGTTTGACTGTTGAATATCTGCTCTGATTGTAGAGGTTTTCTTTGTCACATGTGTTTCAGGATAACCCAACTTTTCCTACCCTGCAGTGATACGATTTTTTCAGGATGTCTACTATTTTTACCATCAATTAGCTAAGGGATTATTTTAGTGATACTGAAAATTATTTATCAGAATAGCCATTTAGATAGCTTTTCTTTGAAACGGATATGTAGTTTATCAAATAATCAAACAGTTCATGATTCATTACCAGGTATATTAGGAATGCCATCTATAGCATTCCTGCAGAGTCATAAATAAAGGGAAAGAGATAAAGTTGGTGACAAGCGGGGAAAAACAGAAGAAATTCTCTGAGTGTGGGAATTCTCTATGAGAGGTGGGAATTGTCTGGGTGGAAAGTCAGAATATACTAGATTGGAAATAAAATGAAGGAGCTAGAAGCAAGAGCCATTTGTGAGAGCAAGATATTAATTTCATCCTAAGACTTTAAAGATTTTTGTAATTTATCAAAGAAAATGTGACAAATTTGCCTGAATGTGACAAATTCTTCTTAATATATTACACATTTTTATGGAATTAAGTCATGTTAGAAAATTGCCTATGCATATGGTAATATGTATATATTTACTTTCTTATTCCCGTTTCAGGAGAAGACCGAAAGCAAAGGCACCACTCCCACCAACTGACACTAAAAATGTCGAAGTCTCTTCAGCTGAGGATTCTGTAGAGTCGGCTTCTTTCATCATGGAACAGAAAGAAAACATGATAGACCGAGACATTGAACTCTCGGTGGTTCTTCCTGGGGATGTTATCAAATCTGCTACTGTTCATGGCAGGTATGCCTTGGAGGGACTGAAATCCTGCAACTTCCCTTTCTTTTTGCACCACTGCTAATCTCTGTGACATAGCCCTTTATATTTTTTCTTAGAGAAAATACTTCATCTTTCAGTTACTTATCTGTTTTTTTTTTTAACTGCTGAAAAGGAATGAAAGCTTTTCCATCAGTGTTGTGAATCTGGTGCTTTCAGTGCCACCATGCTAGTGAAGAGAGTTAAAATTTGAAACTATTTCATGACTGGTTATTCTATATATATATATATTTTTTTTTAAATAGGCTTTCTTAGAGGAATGCTCAGAGTGATACTGATTTAGTAAGCTTACAAACCCAGCAGTGTTTCCTTTTCCTTGTGACGTGTCCTACTTTCAACTCTGTGAATTTGAGTTTTAAGAAGGTGTCACTACCCAAAATATGATATACTCTTATATATTGAAAGAGATATATCTGTTTGTAAAAATTAGTAGAATTAATCTAAAAACCTCATTGTTTAGTTTACTTAAAATGTGGATAAACTACATGGAAATGTAAGATCAGACTGTAGCCCAGCAAGGTGTAAAGATGTGATATATGAGACAGTTTTAAGTACCTGCATAAAAGTTGGAAAAATGGAGCAAAGCCAAGTGTAACTTTCCATTTCATTCTGAAGCGGAAAGTTACATGATTTGTTTTCTTGATCTTGTTCTCCTATCTGCCTTTGTTTGCTTGTTTCTGATCCTTATGTGCTGTGGAGAAATGTTATTTTAACCTTAATATATAGAGTATATGTGTGTGTGTGTGTGTGTGTGTGTGTGTGTGTACAAGTGTATATGCAGAAAATAAGAGTAAGTAAGGGTGTTGCTTTCTTACAGTGTGGTTTTGTCTAGAAAACTCATGTAAGATAACCTTATTTTCAAGATTTATATTCAAAATTATGACTATCTTCATAGATTAGTGAAAATAGGTGAAGACAAAATAGTTCAGCTTTGGGGAATATGAAATAATTCAGGTTCTGATTGCTTTTAAAATTTTTCTTTAGGGCTGAAAAATTTTCTTAAGAATAGAACTTCATTTGAGTGTGTTTAGTAGAGACTTGGTTTAGGGACTTTATGGTAGTCAGATAAATTTTGTTATTTGAGAGGCAGGGAGAAGTGCCCATGGTACTGTGACTGCACTGAGCCTGCAGTTCAATCCAGATCTCCATGCTGCCTCCCAGGTGCGCGTTAACAGGAAGCTGGAAGCTGAAGTGTGTGCATATATACCCAGTGTGGAGTCAACTACAATTTTTACAGCCACAGTGACATTGAAATCTAGGCTCTGCGCTAGGAACCAAGACATCTCAAGCTACTGCTTAACTCTTAGGCCAAATGTCCTTCTGTATTTTTTTTTTTGTAGTAAGTGTTTCTGATGATAATAATAATATGAACTTGAATATCTTAGGCGTATGATTCTGGGATATTTTAAGAATGTGATTTAGATAATCTAAGGAATGTGATTTGGGATATTTTAGGAATGTGATTTTAGGATATTTTACGACTGTAGTTAGGATTATCTTGAGTGTTATGGCTATTGCTTGTCTGTTGTTTCCACTCAAAAATGTAACAACATAAAGCAAACATTCAAATACAAAAAAAGCTCTGTTTTTGCTTTTTTCTGTTTTTGTTTTTGTTAAGATTTGTTTATTTTTATTATTAAGTCAGATATACAGAGAGGAGAGACAGAGAGGAAGATCTTCCGTCCAATGATTCACTCCCCAAGTGAGCTGCAACGGCCGGTGCTGTGCCGATCCGGAGCCAGGAGCCAGGAACTTCCTCCTTGTCTCCCACATGGGTGCAGGGTCCCAAGGCTTTGGGCCATCCTTGACTGCTTTCCCAGGCCACAAGCAGGGAGCTGGATGGGATGTGGAGCTGCTGGGATTAGAACCAGTGCCCATATGGGATCCCGGTGCATTCAAGGCGAGGACTTTAGCCTCTAGGCCACACTGCCGGGCCCAAAGTTCTGGTTTGAAACACATTGTTTGTTGTGAAGATTCAATGACAAAGATGAAATCTAAATGATGATGTGACTATGAAAGAAAGAGGCAGTTTGAGTGATCAAAGACTTTTTAGAGGACTAGAAAATGTAATTTTACATAAACTTAGAATTTGAAGATTTCTTAGATAAATCATACACCCTAAAGCAATTCTAATATGCTTTTTAAGCCCATTCTCTTTGTCTTAATATATGTTATTTTAAAGTATCAACACATTGTCCTACTTAGAAAATCTAAATACTTTGTTTAGCATTTTAGAAATAGCCTTCTCCAGGATATTTTCTCGGGGAGAATTTTCAAAGCATCCCCTGCTTTCCCAGCTATCTCCTGCACATTTATGTCCAGAACGTTCCATTTATGGAACTGTGAGTATACAACTTTATCTTCAGAATAATAAGCTTGTTTGTGATTTGATTTTTTTCAAAGAGCTTTCTCAGATTTAGGGAGCACAACGAAGTTGGAAGTGGCAGCAGCCTTTTTGCTTAGACGGAAGGCAAACACTTCTCATCCTGACTAGGTGGCGCTGTGCTAGCTCAAGAACGTTTGGTGTCAGAGCTCAGTGACACTGCCTTTGTAATGACTGAAAGCTGCCCCTGCTGCTTGCTTCTGTGATCTGTGTGCACACTGAGGGCAGGTGCAAGGGAACATTCTGTCTGCCCTGATGTCAGGGATGACTGACTTGCAGGAAGGAAGAATTCCAGTATTGCACTTATATTTAACATGTTAGAGATATGTGCAAGATCATACGTATACATACATAGATGTGCGTGTGTGCATATATACCCAGTGTGGAGTCAACTGCAATTTTTTTTACCAGGCAAGACATCTCCGTGTCCTGCTGTCCAGGAACATTAAAGCATTTTGATGATACCAGAGGCTGTTGCCAGCCAGCCCACCCTGAATAGTGCCACGCTTACACAACCAAGTAATTGGTTCTTGTTATTCATTTTTATTGAAAATGGGTGTATAGCCTGTCAGATGATATACAACAAGGAAATATGTGTGGGGACACTGGTATAATCTTAGAAGCCCTTGTCTTCGACGGCAATGTCTGCTCCAAACATAGTTATCAGTCATTGTGTGTGATTTCCCTTTTCCTCTTTTTTATCTTTGAGGTATTCTTTGATGTGAGAGTCAGTCTGGAATATTTAGTAAAAGATTGACATTAAGCCTCTTTGTAAGGCTACCAGAACATTCTTGGCTAACATGTTATAGGAAGGAGTCAGTGTGATTTATAATATAGGAGGACATTTCTCTTTTTACATCTTTAAACTAAAACAGCAATTTACTTTTTTTTCTAAATATCCATTTTTTAAATTTTTTTAGTGGAAAGGCAGATTTGCAGAAAGGAGAGACACGTCTTCCATTTGCTGATTCACTCTCCAAGTGGCCGCAATAGCCAGAGCTGAGCTGATCTAAAGCCAGAGCCAGGAGCTTCCTCTGGGTCTCCCACATGGATTCAGGGACTCAAGGACTTGGGCCATCCTCTGTTGCTTTCCTTGGCCACCAACAGGGAGCAGGATGGGATGTGGAGCAGCTGAGACGTGAACTGGCACCCATATGGGCGCATACAAGGCGAGAACTTTAGGAACTAGGCTACCGTGCCAGGCCCAGCAATTTACATTCGGCAAATTTGAGGATATTGTGAATATGAACCATAGAACATCAAGCTTCAAGTCCCAACTAGAAATGACTGAGGGACAGATTGCACATGATATGTGGCTTGATTTTGCTGTCCTGCAGCACCCGCTTCTAGAGGGTATGTGGAGATCACTCCCATGTTGTACTGGCACCTGATGGATGGGTCGGCCTCAGAACTCTAGTCCCTTTTACATGGAGTACAGCGCCACCTATTGGAAAAATGGCAGAAAAGGACAGTACTAGATTAATATGGGTTATTTTGTTCGAAGGGTAAGGCCAGAATTTCTTAAATTCACTTCATACTTTGACTTCTTGAATGATGAAGATTGTCAGCACATTTATAGAACAGTTTATTATTAATAAACATTTGGCCTGGTGCAATGGCTCAGTTAGCTAAAATCCTCCCACTTCAAGCACAGAATTTTATGTGGGCACCGGTTCATGTCTTGGCTGCTCCCCTTCAACAAAACCCTGCTTGTGGCCTAGGAAACCAGTAGGGGATGGCCCAAAGCCTTGAAACCCTACACCTTTGTGGGAGACTGGGAAGAATCTCTTGGCTTCAGATCCACTCAGCTCCAGGAAAGATCCATCTCTCTGTCTATCCTTCTCGTTGTAAATCTGCCTTTCCAATAAAAATAAACAAATCTTAAAAAAAAAAATAAGTATCACTAAAGTTACATAGCACAGTATAAGTTTTGGTTGAGATTTTCATTCAGCAGTGGCTACTTAGAAAAAAATTAAACCTTCACGTTTAGGGATTTTAAAAGTTCAGAGAAAATTGAATTAGGTATTAAGCGTTTTCATAAACATTTTTGGAATTGATGCATGACTTTTCACATGATGCCTTTTCTATAAGCTAACCTAAGAACACTGCTTGAATCTTTAGTTGCTGGACCTGGAAAAAGGAGCTCAAGGCTCTAGCACTGCCCTGTCATCCCCAACACCCCCAAGCTAGGTAGCAAGACTTCCTGTGTGCACTGCCGGCACTCCGCTAAGGACAGTGGTGAAAGTACCCACGGGTGTCTCCCTGACACTTGCTCCTAGGGGACCACTGTTTTCCACATGTATAACATAATAATGACCCTTTTCAGTATTGTTTTAAAGTTTTATTATTACAGTGCAATAATTATTTTATAAAGTTAGAAAAGATAGATAAAAAGTTTACATACACTGTCATTATTAGGCGGACATGTTCTACCAGCACTGTGGTATCTCAGCATTTATTCCTGTGCATGTGTAGGGGCTCACAGATCTATGATGTGGCTCAGTGTCTTGTTACCAAATTCTTTCAGTCAAACATTTCTGACTTTGCTGTCCATGGAATAGTATCTTTTGTCCATTTTTAGTTT